AGCTGTCTAACTGTTACTTCAAAAGTGAGCAACAGTTTGGCTGCACAGGTGCACGTCAGGGAAGTGTCATCCCAGGTCACATTCATAGTTGGACTCAAGCTTTCTTCACTTGTGTGATCTAAAGAGTTTAAAGAATTTCAACTGCCATGAAATTGCCCCTCTCAGGGCCTTCCCAGTTGATAGCACTCCTCCAGCAGTATTGAACTCAACCTTGGAATGGGGCAAATTAGCTTGACCTTGATGATGTCATGTATATGATGAGGTGAGGTAGCACTGCATGATGTTAGCCTTCAACAGTGAGATCTTTCTGGCACTGTCCCTGGGATGAAAATAGTAATGTTTGTTCTGATACCTTGGGCCAAAAGACCTATAGGAATCCACCCACCTGTCTTCTCCATTAAGTGAAGTTTTCATTGAGAGTTTACTTTTAGTCAAACAGCTTTCATCACAGTTCATGTTTCCGTAGATGCAAAAGCAAAGCACTGGTGTCTTGTGGTTGCTGTTGCTGAATCAGTAGTGGCAGTGGCTCTCAGAATTGCAGCATATCAACAGACCAGAACAGCCAGAAGTGGTTGGAACTGGTATTGATTCAGGAAACAAATGTGGTGTGCAGGTGGCCACTGTAGATGGGATGGTAGAAATAAACTTCTCCATACGCTTAAGTTCTCTTAATATTATTTTTGACTTTTCAAGCATCTTAATTTCCTTTAAAGCACACAATTAAATATGGGAAGTAGATACTGGGATTTATTTACTAGAAAATTTGAGACATTCTATACTTTAAATACACTGCACTTATATCATGCAACTTTTAATGATAATGAATTTAATATTTCAGAGTTGAAGAAGAGTACATAGAGTAGTTTTTGTCTTTTCATTTTTACTTATTTATTTTTTTTGAGTTGGAGTCTCACTCTGTTGCCCAGACTGGAGTGCAGTGGCCGTTCCTGGCTACCGCAGCCTCGACCTACTGGGCTCCAGCGATCCTCCCGCCTCAGCCTTCCAAGTAGCTGGAACTATAGGTGCGCACTACCATACCCGGCTAGTTTTTGATTTATTGTAGAGATGAGGTCTTGCCAGTTGGCCAGGCAGGTCTCGAACCCGCGGGCTCAGGCAATCCACTCACCTCAGCCTCCCAAAGGCGCGGGATTACAGGCTGAGCCACCGAGCCCGGCTTGTCTTTTCACTTTTAAAGTCATGCTTTTTGGGGTGGGGGGTGGGGGGAGAAAAACTAAAAATAAAAATAAAGTCATGCTTTTTTGATGACCAAAAAGTCTTAATTTTGATGAAGTTGAACGTATCAGTCTTTCCTTTTATTGGTGAATGTTTATGTGCCTGAAGAAATTATTTTAATCCTTGAGGTCATAAAGATATTCTCCCATAATTTCTTATCAATATTTTAAAGTTTCAGATTTAAGTTGTTGATCAGTCTTCCTAGAATCTATTTTTCCAGGTGGTCTGAGCTAGGATTTTCATGTCTTTCTATGTGGATAGCCAGTTGTTTTACACCAATTTTCAGATGACCCATCCTTTCCTTTTCCCATCATTTACAGAATTATTTGTCACATATTAAATTTCCATATTTTCATGGACTAGTTTGAGCTATTTTTCACAGGTCTTTTTTTTGGCCCCTAAGCCAAAGTCTCACAGGCTTTTTTCCTACTGCATCATAATGACTTCTTAAACCTGGTAGGGAAAGTTCTAGTAGAACTTCTTTTTTTTAGCATTTGCTTGGCTTCATTTTAGAATCAACTTAATCAGTTCCTTAAGTGTAACATTGAGATTCTTATTGAAACTGTATTGACCCTGTAGATGAACTTGGGGGGAGTCAGCATCTTTATGATACACATACAACATGTGAACTTTATGTAGTTCACAAGTTCTTGGAAACTGTGACATTAAGCAAAGTGATGTGTAATTAAACCAATTTTCCCATAGGATAATTATCAAAGACAGGAGTTAAGTTCCAACAGCATATTTCTGATCACAAAAACATCACTGAACCTCTAAATAAGGTCTCAAAATACTTTTCAGTAAGAGACATTGAAAGAAATGTCAGCTATTCATACATTTAGGAAAGAATAACAAAGACAAGTAAAGTAATCGTTTCCCTGACTTTTGGTGAATCAGTGAGTAGTGGAGGTCACAGTGGTGGTAACTGAATCAAGGAGTCACTAATGGCAGAACGAGCATTGTGAGAGCACTCCTCCCTCTGTGCAGCTAAACACAACACATGCAACTCTTTGACCTCTTTGTTTATTGTGACGTGTACATGATTGTTGCATGCCTTACAGAGTTTTTATTTGACAGTCATTTGTGTTCATTCATTCGTTTTCTAACCCATTTACTCCAGATCAGGGTCACTGACTGGATCCTGTCCCAGCAGCTCAAGGCGCAGGGTAGGCAGCAACTATGGACAGGACCTGTCCCATGTGGGGCCACCCCCACACACTTCACACTCACTTATCCTCACATTCACTCACACCCACACTTGCACACACACTCTCACACTAACACTCACACTCAAACTATTTATACCCACACTCATGTACTCACACCCACACTCTCTTCCACCCACACTCACTCACACCCACAACACTGATACACTCACACCCACACTGACACCTACATTCACATCCACATCCATACTCACACCTACATTCACTCACACTGACACCTACACTCATATCCACACCTATACTTACACCTACATTCACTCACACCCACATCCACACTGATACCCACTCTCATACCTATTTACTCACATCTACATTTACACCCACACTCACTTTCACACACCCACACTCTCACAGTCACACTCATACCATACCAGGACTGTATAGACACACCAGTGAACCTCAATGCACAGTTTAGGGATGTGGGAAGAAACCAGGGCACCCAGAGAAACCCATTCAGATCAGGGGAACATACAGACACAGACAGTGGCCCTGCTGGGAGTCAGTGCTTTTTCCTCATCAATGTTGTAGCAAAATGATGTGGAATAAAATGATGTTATTCAAGACCAACTATTCTTTCATTTTGGTTTTCTTTAAGTTCTTTCAATAAAGCTTTGAATTTTTTCTCTATAGAGCCTTTTTATATATTTTATTAGACCTATTACTGAGTACTTTTTGTTGATGTATAAGTCATATCTTTTTTACACTTGTTTTTTAATCATTGCTTTATAGAAAAGTATAATTGACTTTGCATTTTGACCTTAAATCTGGCCACTTTGGTAGATTCTCTCAAGTATACTTTGTCTAGAGATTCTTTCTGGTTTTCTTTGTAGATAAGCATGTGATCTGTAAGTAACAGTTTTGTCCTTTCTCATGCTAGTATCTCTTATTTCTTTTCGTTGTCCATTTTATTGCCTGGACCTCCAGGATAGTGTGACATTGCACCTCGACTGATCTAGAGGAATGACCTCGGCCATTTCATTTTCTGGTGTTTGTTCTAGGCTTTTGGTAGCTACCCATTACCTGATTAAAGAAGGTATCTGAGCATCATTTTGCTGTGTCACTCATTCATTCACCTGCTGGTGGCATGTAGTATCAGAGGGAGACCTGCTTCCCAGCTAAGTAAACATTGTTTAAATATTAGAAATATGAAGTCTAAGGTTTTATATAATATTCTTTCGCAGAGAATTGGTTTTTATATATCAATTGGCTCTGAAATTCTAAAGTTCAAATAAACTAAAACTTCATCATCCTGTATTAATCTTAGGAGAAATGAAATGCTCAAGGAGCATAGACTTGAACATGTAGTTTTAAAAGCCAGCCGTTTCTGTGTAGTTCAGTACAAAAGAAGAAAGTGTCATTCCTTTTGAAAATATTGGAAAGCATCAGACTTGCCCATTCACTGTGTGTACTGCATCCCTTCACCAGCATATAAACAGTTTAACTCAGAAGAGTAACATTTCTATTCGCACAAGTGCCATAAACACAATTTACTTATCAGTCTTCAAATAAGTTTTACATGTGACGTTTACATTAATCCTAGGTCAGATGTATTTCTATTTACTTTAGTTCATTTCTTCTGTTTCAAGTTCGTTAGTTTCTTTTTTTTAATTTTTTTTGAGTTGGAGTCTCACTCTGTCGCCCAGACTGGAGTGCAGTGGCTGCACCCAGCCACCGCAGCCTCGACCTGCTGGGCTCCGGCAATCCTTCCGCCTCAGCCTTCCAAGTAGCTGGAACTACAGGCCCGCACTACCACACCCGGCTAATTTTTTGATTTATTGTAGAGATGAGGTCTCACCAAGTTGTCCGGGCAAGTCTCGAACCCGCAGGCTCAGGCAATCCACTCACCTCAGCCTCCCATGGCACGGGGTTACAGGCTGAGCCACCGAGCCCGGCTCAGTTTGTTAGTTTCTAAAGCCCTGGAACTTTTTCTTCATGTGGCTGTTTTAGGTATCTTCTATTTTTAAGAAATAATCATTTTCAAAAACTGTCACAGCAGTTATAGTTTCAATGTAATTTCATTTGTTTTTTAGTTTTCATTTTGTTTTTACTTTTTTGAGTCAGGATCTTACTCTGTCACCTAGGCTAGAGTGCAATGGCATGATCAAGTCTCACTGTAGCCTCTATTTCCTGCCTCAGCCTCCTGAGTATCTGAGACTATAGGTATGTGCCACCACGCCTGGCTAATTTTTTTTGTTTTTTGTATAGACAGGGTTTTGCTATGTAGCCCAAGCTGGTCTTGAACTGCTGGGCTCAAGCAGTTCTCCCACTTCGCTTCCCAAAGTGCTTGGTCTTTAGTCATGAGCCACCGTGCCCATCCTCTTATTTCCTTTTAATACCCAGAAACAGCTATGTGTACTAAGATTCGCTTTTCTACAGTAGCATAGTTCAGGTTGAAGGAAGAGATCCTCTTCCCCTTTGGGATCCTTATTGGTGACATATTTGTTTTGTCTACTGCATCTCCACTTATCCATCTGGGATAAATTGCAGATATCATTTAAGTCCCCTCTGGTGCAACAAGTTAAATTCCTTTTGATTTTCCAGGAGGACTCACAGAGAGTAATGATAATCACCGGGCCAAACATGGGCGGAAAGAGTTCGTACATAAAGCAGGTCGCGTTGATCACCGTCCTGGCACAGATTGGCTCCTACGTCCCTGCAGAGGCGGCCACCGTGGGGATTGTTGACGGCATCTTCACAAGGTGAAAACACTCTCAGGCTCTAATGTATTTCTGAAAATCAATCAAGGCCACATTGTCATAGGAATTTTCTCTGTGCATATTTAGAGGAATAGGTTTGCTCATAAAACATTCTTCATTGGCCAGGCACGGTAGCTCAAGCCTGTAATCCCAGCACTTTGGGAGGCCAAGGCAAGAGGATTGCCTGAGCCCAAGGGTTCAAGACCAGCCTGGGCAACTTGGCAAGACCTCATCTCTACAATAAATCAAAAAATTAGCCGGGTGTGGTAGCATGCGCCTGTAGTTCTGGCTATTTGGTAGGCTGAGGCAGAAGGCTCGCCTGCGTCCAGCAGGTTGAGACTGCGGTGGCCGTGAGCATGCCACTGCACTCCAACCTGGGCTATAGAGTAAGACTCCAATTAAAGAAAAAAAAAATTCAGCCTTTAGGAATGCTGATTTCATCTTCACAAGGTGAAGAAATGATTTCATCGTGAATAATAGTACTGGAAGAGTCTTAGGCATTCATTCTGTTCAGTAGCTTTCAAATTACTTTTGGCTAGTGAGTTTTTATTTTAAACAGAATTTTATATAGTAAATCAGTATTTAAATAGATGAAAGCAAATCTACTCTGCCTTCCAGGGGTGGAAGGATGGGAGGTTTGAATGGACTCCGTAGAGAACTGTCTGAAAAACTGGGCTACCTCCCATTTTATAATGCAGGACTGAGAGCAGCAGCAAGAGGCAGTGGACCAAGACAATTCCGTTTCTTTTTACACCAGGAACATTACATGCAACTGACTAGTCTTACCCCTGGTAGATAAACCTAAATGTCATGCTGTGTTAGGAGTACGAGTGAAATATTCTGGTCTCATTAAGTAGAATGCATAGTTTGTTTGACACCTTCTGACTTATCAATTCTTAAAGTATTATGTTTCTTACATGTACATTTTTTTAAAGTGAAGAGTCTCTATGTACATGACCAGGTTCTGTGTGTGGGTCTCTGAGCTGTCCAGCCTCATTTGTAGGATGTTGGTCTGTGGAGTCACATCAGAGTGTGTCACATGTTCATGTCGACATTGTCGAATAGACACTAAAACACTTCACACTTCGTTTGTCATCTGAGAGTGACTAAGGCAAAGCAACCTCAGTTCTGTCTGATGTCATATCACGAAATACCCTGTGCCTAAAAATAAATAAGTAATAAAAGTACATTTGGAAAAGAAAGGAGAATGACCAATGGACAGGGTCCTGAGACGACTGGAGACCTATTGTGTTGTTGGGGAAATACAGGAGGCTGTCTGACTCAGTGGCTTTTTCAGAAGGACGGTTCATGACTCTGGCAAGGTTTGAGATGTGACCTGCTATTGGATGACTGGGGTGGAGGAGGAAGCAAAAGGACCCTGAGCAGGGACCTCACTGGTTTGGGCCAGTTTTAGCCACGTGGACACTGAGGTCCCCTCAGCATCGGCAGGGCTCTGATGCAGAGAAGACCCAGGCAAGCACCAAAGCAGCAGCTGTCCGAACCTGAAGTGCTGATGGCTTGGAAGGAGGGAGGCTGTCATGGTCAGAGGCCTGAACTTGAAGAGCTCGTGGTCTGGAAGGAGAGAGGCTCTCGTGGTCAGTGACTCAGCCTCACAGGAGCTACTTTTACCACAAGAAAGTGGGGCCTAGAGGTACGTGACAAGAGGACGAGCCATGGGCACCATGTGGCATGAGAAGCAGAGGACCCTTTTAAGGGGAGGGCCTGGAGAGAGATGGGGGATGCTGTGGAAGAGTCAGCAGGCTGGGCATCGCTGTCACCAGGAGCTCCTCTGGGGCCCACGTTCAGGTGTGGGCAAGCAGCAGCTATACCCAAGACGCAAGCGTGCATGGCCCTGATAAGCCCAGCAGTCACAGAGCAGTGCCTAAGGCTGGGCTGGGAAAATATGGGAGAAGATGGATATGATGTGGGAAGCCAGTCTCGGTGTCATATTAGGCAATCAGTGATGTACCCAGAGGCTGTGTGCAACTGGCTGGGGTCTGGGGCAGCCAGACCCCCAGATGCTGTAGTGTTGCCTGGATGCAGAAGCGCGTCTGTCAAGTGAGGAAGAGGTGGGTTACATACAAGTAATTTGGGTGGCAGTGTCCCAGTGCGGTGAGTGGGTGCTCATGCTGACCAGTCCTTCCCACTTTTTCTGCATGTTGTCATGGGGAGTTTTGACCCTTTTGCCCTCATTCCCCTCTGACAGTTTTCTGTCCTGTGAAGAACATCCCGATGTAGCTGCGGTCATGGCAGACTCCTGCTCAGAAGCCTCTGATCACCCATTGGTAGTGAAGGGTCTCTACACATGGCAGTCGGGACCCGCAGAGGACTCCAGCTGTCATGTCTTACTGTCTCTTACTCCCTCATTCATCTTTGGGCCAACCAGACGGTTCTTTATGAATCCCAGGAAGGAATGATTTAGGCTTCCTTATTTGTCTTTTTCAGTTGATGCCATTTCCTATGCCAGAAATTCCCCTCCTCCTGTTTTTGCTCCTGCTAAAATCCCACCTACTGTTAGATCTAGTTCAGACACCTCCTCCTCCATAGAGCCTTCCTTGGCTCCCTCAGCCCCGAATTACCCTCTCTCATCTGTTTTTCTCTGTCTAAGCTCGTACCAGTTTTAGTCTTAGAGTTGTTGATGAGCATGTCAACTTTCTAGTACTGTGTTGTCCATTCCTGGAAGATGTTTCATGCTTTATACATTTCTCCTCCCTCCCAAGCCCTAGTACTTGGCTTTATGCATATGTAACAGATACTGGGCTGACAGATGGATTGACCCTAAGTCACGATCAGATGATGGAAATGCTGCATGGGCAGTGGGGAGATTTTGAAGGCTTGCGAGTGGGAGAAGACATGATCAGAACTGTAGGTTAGGTTTCATGAAGCTTTGTATGGCAGCATTGTGAATGGCAGACTCTCAGTGCTGATGTGGCGGGTTGTTCTCAGGGAGATCCTGAAGCCTCAGTTAGACTGATGGGGGTAGACATGAACATTGGGCAAAGGGGCCATATTGTGGGGTTGAAACTGGCCAGCCTTGGCAAACTGCATGGATGAGGAGATAGAGACAAAGGTGCATGCAGAGAGCCCTAGTGTGGGATGGTAGTCTCTCGAGAAGTGGAGATGGAAGGCCTAGATGTAGGATGGTGGTCTCCCGAGAAGTAGAGGCAGAGACTCCAGGTGTAAGATGATCTCCTGAGAAAAAGAGGCAGAGAATCTAGGTGTAGGCTGGTGGTCTCCTGAGAAGTGGAGGTGGAGGGGCTAGGTATAGGATGGTGTTCTTCTGAGAAGTAGAGGCAGAGGGTCTAGGTATAGGCTGGTGTTCTCCTGAGAAGTGGAGGTGCAGGGCCTAGGTGTAGGTTGGTGGTCTCCTGAGAAGTGGAGGCGGAGGGTCTTGGTGTAGTATGGTGGTCTCTTCAGAGGTGCAGATGGAGGCCCTAGGTGTAGGGTGTTGGTCTCCCAAGAAGTGCAGGCAGAAGGCCTGGGCGTTGAATGTTGATCTTACAGAAGTACCAGCAGAGGGTCTAAGTGTATGATGGTGGTCTCCTGTGAAGTGCAGGTGGAAGGCCTAGATGTAGAATGGTGGGTTCCTTAGAAGTACAGGTGGAGACCATAGGTGTAGGTTGGTGGTCTCCTGAGAAGTGCAGGTAGAGAGTCTAGGTGTAGGATGGTGGTCTCCCGAGAAGTATAGGCGGAGTACAGGTGGAGGCCCTAGGTATAGAATGTTGGTCTCTAAGAAGTACACATGGAGGGCCTAGGTGTAGGACGGTGATCTTTTAAGAAGTGTTGGTATAGGGTCTGATTTGGGAAAGCACACTTGTAGCCTGTGGCTCAGCAACGAGTACAACACCAACATGGCCAGTAGGTCTTTCTGTCATCACTAGACACCACAGTGGCATCAGGAGATGGTAGCATTGGTTCAACAGCTAATCAGAACTCTGTTGTGCTAAAAACATATCTTCATTCAGATCTTAGTACCCCAGAGTTTTATTCCAGGCGTTATGTGTACAAAGCTGAATCAGGTAGTTTACCTGTCCTCAGAGAGCTTGGGGCAGAAAGGGGAGAGGAAGACGCAGGTCCTTACAGTCCATATTTTGTGCACTGTAGAGATGTATGTGAGTTTGTGTTTATTGGCTGGCTCCTTCAATCATTCATGTTTATCCTGCCATCTCCCAGGGAGGAATGAGGCTTAGAATGTTCCATTATGACCAACACTGCTGTGGGTGAGCCACATACCTGGTGCAAAGGTTTCCACAGAGACGAACTCATTCAGTTGAACAGTTCAAGTGCCCAGAAATCCAAATCAATAATTTAAGGAAGTGACCAAAAAATGTATTGTGTTAGATAGACAAGAGTTTTTAGTAATAAGGTTAATTACAAGTATTTTTTGGCTAATATCACACAGACTAGTTATATTGGATCCCTTAGGTTAGAGTTTAGGAAACAAGTGTTGGATTATGTTATTCTTGGACCACAGTCTCCACTGAGACACATGTTATACCTGTGCTTTTATATCCTTACAGTTTTGTGTTTTGTGCTACGTAGGTGTGCAGTAAACATTTGTTGAAAGACTGACAGTAAACATTTTAATATAAATAGATGTGTTGACATAAGTCTGTTTCTTGGTCCAAATTTCTGGAATCTGGTGGAAGCATTCCCTGTGGTTCAAATACCATCTAAAATAGAACACTGAAGCTTGACTAGGTTTTTCCACAGGACTGAAAAAGTCTTCAAGTTTCTCTGTAAGAGTTGGTCTTGTAAAGAAAACACTTACATCTAGGTATGAGGCTGAGTAAACTATCATTAACACCAAGGGGAGGAGCAGAGCCCTCACTGCTGTGGATGGTGGTCTGTCCTCACATCTCTGTATGTGCACTTGTGTGGTGCTAAATAGGAAATTTGGATAGGAGATTAGTTGTTGATCTGGAGCTAATCTGGATGCTGTTCCCTAAACTGGGGCATCTCAGGCCAATCTGAATGTCATACCTTGGTGGTAGTCAACCTCT